TCCAAGGTACAGGCAGAGTTCCCGCCCGGTGGCCTACTACTTTCTATGTTCTTACATCACGGGTTGGTGGATGGGGGCTCGTTGCGCGTCTTCCTGGAATGCTTTGCTGCCCAGACTCGAAACACTCCAGTTAACTTGCCTTCCGAGCAGACGTTTCCGATGTTGCATCATCGCAGCCAGAGAGGCCCAATTACCATACACAACGACAACGGTGCTACATTCCAGCTTCTACTGAAAAGATGTCCGGAATATACGATGCTACGTGACCTTAGCGGCCCAACGCAACCGCGAATCCTAAAGACTGGACCGTCTATGGCAAACATCGAGAAGATAGGCAAGATCTTCGTTTTCAGGAACGAGCGACTGCAGGAACTCCGAGAGCTGATTCGGTCTCGAAATGGCGGGGTGGAGTCACCGTCGGCTTACACAAGCTTGGCTACCCTCGCCTTTGCGCATATCACGAAGTCCCGCGTGGCAGCCGAAAATAACTTACCTGGGGTAGAACCAAGGCGGAATGCCATGCTATGGAACTCGGTGAACTGGCGAACGAGAGCCTTCAAGGGCGCCACAGAAAACTACTTTGGCAATGCAGCCCTACCAGTTGTTACGAAGGCATTAAAGACCCAATTAATTGCAGCTTGCGATGACGACGGCGAACTCGCTCGTCTTGTCCCGCTCGTGAAAGCATCTATCGACGCTGTCGACCAGGAATACGTCAGCCGGCGTCTCGCCATGCTATGCGAAGCGCCCGACCCACGCCTAGTAGGAGTTAATTATGACCCACGGATGCCCGAAGCGCTGGCATTCAACACATGGCGACATTTCGGCGCGGACGTCGAATGGAACATACCGGGAGTACCCGTAACCAAGGCGGATGCAATTAGGCGGGCTCACGGATCGTGGAACCTTGGTACAGCTTTGATACTCCCGGCCAAGGCGGACTCAATGAAGCAAGAGCTCTTTGTAAGCCTACCGGTTGATTCAATGAGGCTGCTGTGCGCCGACGTTGGGTGGACGAAGTGGGTTGATAGGATCATAGGTTGAATAATGATGAGGCTGCAACCACTATAATGTAATTATCTAATGCCTTTGATCCCTGCTCCTTGATGATCTACTCACTTCTCATTTCCGTGGCAGCTAGGTATTGGTTGTCACCCTGTCGGCTGTTGTATCCGAGGTCCAGCACAACCGGTTCTCGTCAGGCCTCCCCTTTCATCCCTGCTCCTGAATGACATGTCACCTCAATCTACTAGCCTCGTGCACGACAGGACTTTGCTTTTTTCTATTCCCGGCTGTACCAAACTTCCAGGATAGAGGGGCAACAAACCGCGGAACTTCCGAGCCATATCCGGAGCCAGGCCCCCCCCCCCCCCCTTCTCGCTCTCGGCGCTAAGATGTGCTGATAAGGTACATACATCCGTGATGGGAGTTTCTACAAATTAAACAGATTCACGATGTCCGGATAGATACGCTACGTATTTAATCGGAGGGCCAACCCGCCCCCAAACGGGCCGGGCCGTTGCATTTAATGATAGATTCAGATGGCGATGGCGATGGAGGCTTAAGGGCACGGAACTGCCTATCGTACAAGTCGTCAATGCGCAGCGGGTATGGTGATTAGGTACGCTTTGGTGTGAAGCGAGCACCAAAGTGGTGGTGTTGTCGGTGTCGGTGGTGGGTAACATTGTTTCGATTCTGACTATTTTCTGTCAGACTGTGAGCAATGGCGATCAATCGATCTGCTTTACTGTACGTACTTCTGACAGCCCTACGGAAATCACGAGACCAGATGGGATTGCAGAGTTTCAGCCGCTTTCTAAATCGTCTGTTCGGTTTCGTCTTGCATCCTTCTGGAACGATGGCTAGAAGAAAGCAGGAGTACCTAAGGGAAACGGCCTAGTTTGGTCCACCCGATCGGGCGATCGAAAATGACGGTTGTATGTACATACACGTTTGGTTTCGAGAAAAAAACGATAGAACCTACATACCTAGACGGCTACTGCAGAGAAAGCTGCTGCTTTGCGGCACAGACAATCTCACCAAACCGCACCTCTCCGATGACATAACAGCTCCTAGGGTACAGCGGTGACTGTGTGCCTAGGTACGTACGCGCATGGGTGGAGGATATTAGGATTTTTACCTAAGCCTTTCTCAACCAAACCCTTCTCAAGCACGGTAACTTCAAAAGAGAGAATATTTCTTTTTGAAGAGACGGCGGGAATGCTGTATGACAGCATTATTCTGACTGCAGTAATGCGCCTGGCATATTAATGCGAATATTGCGTCCTCATATAATGTTACTCATGATACTCATAATACTCATAATACCGATAATAATGGTGTCATGGACCACTGCTAGGTATTACCTAGGTACCGGGTTTCCGCAGAAAAAATATATGTGCAAGCTACCTAGGTATATTAAACGAAATTAAGAGCTATGCACATATATCTCGTGGCGTTTTCTTCTTCTCTTCTCTTCTCTTTATTCTTTACTATTTCCATGATAACCCCGGTTTGTGGGGAGGAGGGGCGGGATTGGGGATTGTCTTACATACTATGTACATAGTAGAAGCAGTGATACTCCATCGGCAGGAATCCTATTCGTCAAGGAGGCGTCGTGATACGAACATTATCAAGTGTATTATTATATTTGGCGCCTTATGGCCTTCTTAGGCTACGGAGTACAGACGCCATTATCACTCGGACGAAATAGTTCGGGTTCGGTTGCTCTTATGGGGTTTGGGCTCTAGCTTGTCTGGAGCTTGTCTGGAGCTTGTCTGGTTCGTCGCTTATTCTCATTCTTATTTACATCCACGTGGGTTCGAAACTCGATCCGGGATCTTTCTCCCCCTCCCCCCTTCTCTTTACGAAGCTCGCCGGGTTCCCTAGCACATGGTGGACTAGTAGTGGACTAGTAGTGGACCACCTCAATTTTAATCAAGAATACATACATACCCATACATACCTTAACTACCTATGCTCTGCCACTTACATGTATTTATGTCGCACGACATGTGCCGTACATACATCTAGTGGACATGGTCAATATAGGAGCCTATCTATCACCTTGTTTAGCAATCTGTCCTCTCTACATACCCTACCGCAATTTAAACCAAGGCGTTCTGCTCACCGCTGCCTTGTGTAGTGCGTACCATAGTATTGCTAGTGTACCTAGTCACGATGCATCAACTGGGCGGTATGATAACTTGCAGGGGGCTCCCCCAAGCTCCCAAGCTCCTAAGCCCCCAATCCCCCAATGATCTTAGCCCAGGGGTTTTCGAATATGCATTCCCAAAGATACACCAGATTTGGTCCATCTTTACTTGAGCCGGAGATAACATTCGAAGGGGAACCTTTTTCAGTTGAGCTTAGCCCTAGGGTTCCTTACCCGGACCCTGACCAGACGCGCGTAAAGATCTATGATTATACATACACTACATACGTACCTAAGTAGGCACATACATTGCAGCCTTGCTCTTATCTAAATGTGATTTCATGCGGTGTGTTTTGAGAATTGCATGTGTCTCTCGTCACGCTGCTCTCGATTATGGTTCCTCACCGTCACGTACGGACTACTGTTCCTTGTATTGTCGATATCGTACCCCCACGGCGAATACACTGTGATGCCCCCCCGGCTTCTTCATGGGTAGGATAAGCGAACGGGTTCGAGTGAATATCATGCTGTTCTAACCTAGTGTCTCTCCGGCGCCTTGTTTACCTGCATCGGCGCCGCTGTGTAGGGACTCATTCTCCATAAACGAGGGATCGACTTCTCGACTGTGACAAAGACCGACTCGGCCGTCTGTATATATTGCTTGGACGTCGAGTGTGGTCTTTGGCGACTCAGTTGTTATGACCCTATGCGCCATCGAGAGTAGATATCCTAGGCTGTCTCCAGCGACACGTCCCTGAAGGTTTTGACACTCTTGTTAGTAAAATGGTCTTGCTGAAAGACTAAGGCGATTGCCACATCCTAGGCGAGAAGCTTCCGTTAACAACTTGCTAAGGGAGACTATCGTGTCGCATTGAATCAAGAATCTATCTCTTGAGCAGAGTGGACACCACTTACAGACAGAAGTGAGATGAAAAGGCTGACACGTCAAGCATTAGCAAGAGTTCTCGTCTTGGTGTCTCATGGCGTCGTTAAGAAGTCCGCAGTTGACGAGATTCATCGTTATCGTATGTCTTGGTATGGCACGATCACATCATGAAGAAAGATGAGAGGGGGAATGGTTCTGCTCGAGGCCCAATGACCTTTGGGCCTTTGAACCTTTGAACCTTTGAACGCTCTATTTGCTACACTGCTACGCCGGAGGTTTCGTATTCGTGCCCACCATCTATAACTTATTGCTGACCTCAGTATTGATGTTTTCGTCGTCAATTATATCGCCATCGCCGCCCGCGACTCCAGACCCCAGCCTCCAGCGGAGGAACATAGCCTGCTTACCGAGAAAACCGGCAAAAGACGTTTATTGCCACATGCAGGTATAATTATATTAGCTTTGGGAGCCGCAAGAGCCAACCAGGCTTCTTGATCGAACGCCTAGATCGTGACGCCGCGTAAATAGCATATACCTAACATATAACATGAAACCAAAATCATGCAACGCGGCCAGGGGCTCGCCCAGGATAAAGCTACAATTATCCGTCGGCAAAATCTGCTAGCGTTCCATCACGTCAATATCGTGACCCCGGTTCGACAAATTGGGCGCTGCCGGCAGAATTGCTTCCCTACGATGATCGACGCAAACACGTTCATTCTAAACTCCAACTCTCACCCGTCTTCTCGGGTACTAGGAACGGACTCGACATTCCCATTTTCCACAACGAGGTTGTTGTCTGTTGGCTATTGGCTATTGGCTATTGGCTATTGGCTATTGGCTATTGGCTAAACCGATCGCGGGAACAATATAACCTGGTAGCCCGCCAAGTATATAAGCAATCTTGTCCCGCCGCGGCGATCGTCAGCCCCTGAAGAAGAAGCTTCTTTTTTTCTCTTTCTTCTTCAGCAAGAGCTAAAAAAAGACAAGCCTCACCCTCAGTCAAGTCAAAGCCAAGTCAAAGCCAAGTCAAGTTCATCCCGCTCATCAATTTTCCAGTTGACAAGATGCTTGGTTCATCCATCTTCGTTGCCCTCGCGGCTGCCGCCGGGGCCATCGCCTCCCCTCTCGAACTCATCACCCGGTCGACCCCCGCCGGCACGGGCACCAACAACGGCTTCTTCTACTCGTTCTGGACCGACGGCGCCGGCCAGGTGACGTACAACAACGGGCCCGGCGGCTCGTACGACGTGACGTGGTCGAACGTGGGCAACTTCGTGGCCGGCAAGGGGTGGAACCCCGGCGCGACCCGCGTCGTCACGTACAACGGCACGTGGAACGGCGCCAACGTCAACAGCTACCTGTCCGTGTACGGGTGGACGCGAAACCCGCTGATCGAGTACTACATCGTGGAGTCGTTCGGGACGTACAACCCGTCCAGCGGCGCGACCAAGCTAGGCTCGGTCGAGAGCGACGGCAGCGTGTACGACGTGTACCGCACCCAGCGCGTCAACCAGCCCTCCATCGACGGCACCTCCACCTTCTACCAGTTCTGGTCCGTGCGCCAGCAGAAGCGCGTCGGCGGCTCCGTCACCATCAAGAACCACTTCGACGCCTGGGAGAAGGCCGGGCTCAAGCTCGGACAGCACAACTACCAGATCCTCGCTACCGAGGGCTACCAGAGCAGCGGTTCTGCCGCCATCAACGTCCAGCAGTCCTAGGGGATGCCGCTGCTCGCCTTCTTGCGGTCGGCGCGTGTGTTGATCGGGTAGCAAAAAAAAAAAAAAAAAAGGAGGAAATGAAGGGATATATATAGCTTCGCGGATCCGCATGGGCTTGCTTGCCTTTCTCGTATGATGCTAGGTTAGGTACCTGTCGATATCGTATCCTATCGTTAAGTTCGGATGTATATTCTTTTCTTGGTATTCCGGCTTTTGCAGCTGGGAAATCTGAGTTATGACCGATAATTCCGTCTTCGTGCGAGCATAAAGTGACTCTCGTGCCAATAAGAGCGAACCGTTTAATCCAGGTCAGTTAATTGTAATCCGTATTGTGAACTACTTGGGATCTGCACATGCACGCCCAGGTTCTAAAATGAGTTGCAGCTTGACGGCATGGCCCCGAGATTGAGTGGATATATTGGAACTTAGCCGTATTCTCCCGTGCTTTTACATACATCTCAACTTGCAATAGAGTGGTTTCAATAATAGGAGTAGGCAAATCACTTTTCTAGATAGTTATCCTTTCCTAGTACCTATTTCGTAGCCCCTTTTCCAAGTAGTAAGATTCTATACCAGATACATAGGAGTATAATGACATCTATTGTCATTTTCTTACCCGTGGAACCTTGCTCAGATTAATGAGTCTTAGTTCTCTAAGCTTATTCTAGAAACTATTCGAGGGTGCATTTAAATGTGGCATCTAGCGAATGATTAATACAACGCTGAGTTGTCTCAACAGGCGGGGATTCATGCTACTGAAGGATACGTACTGTAAGATAAATCGGTCCTGTATCATGAGTCTCTTTCGTAACTTACATCTAGGTAGTCCTTTAACAGCCTCCTCTGAAGTTGAGGCTTTCGTAATCTAGAAAGCCACATGGGTATGCGGAAGGCCGCTACATATCATATAGTAAGACTGTAAATGCTATATAGAGTAATACAATACATTGTATATTCTCTTCAATATGATGTAACTAGAATATATGATGCTAGTTATCGGATACTTGTTCGATATTGAATGTCAGAACGTATGGAGAGGCTAGAAGTCAAGCTATCTACATGTAACAGGCATCCAAGTGTCAGTCGAGTATGCCAACTAGAGCAACAAGGAATACTAAATATATAATAAGTAACGTTAAGAAGAGTCATATCAAACATTTGCGATTGTGATCAACCGGGAGAAATTTGTCGAAAATTACACGAGAGGGATACTCTGAAGGCCAGGGATATACAGCAAATCTTTTTGTAGTGATTCCTGATTCCTGAGACATGATCCTCCCCTATAGAGATTCCCTAAAAGTCGTCATTTCTTATTATACATGTGGAGTTGGTTTTTTTTCATAATACATCAGAGGCGTCACTCCTTTTTTTCTCTTTGATTTTTATTCATTCATCTATCCGCCCCTCTTCCGTCATTAGGTACCTAACCCATCCCCGCTAACCGTCTAAGCATCGACGAATTCCTTGACGTCCTTCAGCCAGGTCTGGTACTCGCGCTGCTCCTTGATGTCCATATAGTCGGGGACGAAGACGCCGAGGGCCTGGGTAACGCCGCGCTCCTCGAGGTAGCGCTCCATGAGGATCTGTAGGTCCTCGTCGAGGCTGCCGAAGGGTGGGCCGGGGTAGATGTCCTGGGCGGCGTGGGCGATCTCAGCAGTCTCGCCGTGTGCCAGCTTGGAGTCCTTGAAGTAATAGAAGTTCTCAACGATGATCTGACCGTCCTGTGCCATCGCCTCGATGTTAAGCGCGCCCTTGCCCGGCTTCTCTACTACGATGTTTAATCGGCAAGGTACCGGCGCATCGTTGCCGTCGACATCGTCTTCAAGGGCTTCCTCGCCCTCCGCCGGCGATGTGCGCTTACCTTCGGGCGACTCGCCATCTTCATCGTCGAGAATAGATTCCTCATTGAATACGTCGTCGGGCTCGTAATTGGCAAGATCTGAAATGGAGAAGGTGACGGTGATGCTGAAGCGGACATGTTAGCTCTTGTAAAGGTATGATTCGATATCATATGACGAGACTTACGTTTCGTTTCCAAACTTGCGGACTAGAGAGACGTCCTCCTTCCCGGGCTCATCCTTCAGCTCGAATGGGCTGTTCTCGAGGAAGTCCTTGACGCTTGCCGGGAGCTGCTCACCCTCCTTCATCTCATTTTCGAACTGGAGTTCGCTCTCGAGCTTAACTGACAGCTCCGCATCCACCTCTGCCGCGGGCGCTTGTCTGAACTGCGATGTGGAGAATTCCGAGGTGAATTGAGATGATCTGAGAGGTGCCCATGAAAATTTAAGTAGAGAGCTCGGCTGAATTAGTCTTGATGATCTGAGGGTGGTAGAACTAAGACGAGTAAATGTACGAGGCGCTGAGCGCGCAACAGCTCTGAGAGACATCATTTTCACCAAATGTGCTAAACAGAAACAGAACGAAGTAAATAGGAATGAAGGAATGGCGACGTAGATATAAATTACAATTTACAATTTTGTAATTTTGTAATTTTGTAATTTGCGATTGAGACTTTGGAGGGGGGGATTAGCTTCAATGATATTGAATAAATTTTTTTGCATCTAGAAGCTCCAAAATTTTTATTTGAAGATGGCGATAAAAGAAACCCGAGCTTTAGCCCCGCACGTTATCAGGAACAGGGGATAGAGCTTTCGTAGTGGATCCCACCTGGGCAGTTATTTAGGTACATATGTTAGGTAGATCTGGGCATGTCCGTTGGATACATTACCTAAGGTACCTAGGTACTTAAGCCAAGGTACATACCTAGGTAGGTACCTATGTATCTCTAGATGCACGTGTATAAAGATAAAGTGCAAGTACCTAATGGAAGCCAACCCCTGAACCAAAACAACACAGATCAACTTACAGCATGCAAGTCTGATTCTACGACCGAGAAGAGCCTGGGTCTAATTTGTCTTGTCATTGATGTATTTGTCCTTGTTTCTATTTTTCTGCTTGTTAAACTTATGGCGCTGTGGCGTGTACAGTTTGCGTTGGTGAGACCAAGTCGGATTCCTCCTTGCATTTCCAGCATTGATACCGAGTTCTGCTGGATTTATTGTCGACATCACGCCCACAACCCCCAAATACGCCCCTCGAAGCTGCAATCGCGCACGATTTCTCCGAAATTAGAACAATCTCTTCATGGCCGCAGATGTAGCAGGCCCTTAAGTGAGTAATGTATTGACACATCCCTAACCTTGCGTGAGCGATGCAAGCCGGCTCTGGAAATAGGGGTACATACTAGAGTAACGTGACAACGTGACGAAGCAAAGCTCGGCAAGTTGAGATTCGGGTCTGTAGTGAGCTATCGTACGAGGCAGAGATCGACGCCATTTTCCTTTCATACTGAAGTACGCTGCGCTTCAACTTATATTACCAGTAACAGCTCGTACTTTACACTTCTAACAATGCTCGATACTCTCTTCTGCTGTGGTTTTTGCAACGTATGACCCATGTCGAAGTTATAGCTACCTCTGCCTTTTTGCGCGGGCCAATCGGGTAACTAGAGGAGCGAGGAAAACAGACCCTACTCATCTACACCCATTGCTAGAGAATCCAGCTAAGCCAATCGTCTCGACGATTTTGGTCTGGGATAGATAAGCGTTTGGCTTGAAGGGCGTACTACAAGTCATGGAACTCGTCTTAAATAGCATGAATTTAGAGAGGACAATGCATTGAGTAAGTAGCCGTATCGGGACGAACGTATAGAAAACAGGAAAGTTGTGAGATGTCACACATTCATTAGTTGTGGGCAGGACCATCTAATTTATTATGAAGATAGCCGAAGAGGTCCGTAGGTTGGGAGAAGGCAAAGGCTTGCGGTTTCGAAACTCTCGGATCCGGGGTGCAGTTGACAGTAACCACCAGCATCCCACGGCCGTTCGGCTACTCACTTCCTTCACACGTGCAACAAAATAGTCTAAAAACAGGTGCTGCAAACGCATATCTCCGTTGCAAACGATCGCGATCCCATACCTGTAGTGATACTCATGCTCAGCCAGGTTAGGTATACTAACTTCGACTGAGGAGGCGGATGATCCGCTTGGTCAAAAGGTGTAAAGGAGCTTTCCGATGATACCAATGCTGCATTGTTATTGCCAACCTGACATAAGTGCACCGGGTTTGAAACTAGCCGGTGCCATACAGTCTGACTGCATTATTTTCCGTAAAATAAAAAAATCCCGGATTACTGCCGGCATGTGTGGCTGGCTGCGGAGTTTGCAGGTTGGTGCGTGTCAGGGCTGTAGGTAACCGCGTGTTTGTAAACCAGCGGCAAAACCAGGCCAACTCCCCTGCTTGGTCTCGGAAACTTCCTACGTCCGTAAGTGAGGCCCCGTCTGATCTACGATGAACATAGAAACATCAACCGAGGGTACAGGGACTCGTTACACACGCGTCCTCGGGCTGAGGACGTCGAGCACGTGGGAAGTGGGGGGTATCTTTTCAATGCTCTCCTCTCGGAGGAAAGCTAGAAGGTTGAACGCTCCCAGCGGAAGATATTCTCACCCACTTGAGGGTGGTTAGGTAGGACCAAGAGCCTTCCCATCGGCTTAGTACCGTAGCATTTTCTTCTGTGTCGAGCTCCGGAATTACTACAGCCCGGGTAATGTTAGACGAATATTTGCAGTCAAACTAGTGGAATAGTATACTGACAAAAGCCGCTCTGGTACTCCTTCTGAAGCTTATCGATTTTCACTTTCAGTAGATCTTCCCTGGCACTGGCAGGACGTCCGGGCCGCCGAGTCTTTTTTACTTCGCTCAGCTCCTCATCGTGTTGGTGCACAAACCTGCAACTGCGGTCAGCTTGAAAGAGATAGTGTCAAGTGTGGTTCTTTTAATGAAACTGACGTCTTGATTAGTTCATGGATAACATCCATCTGTACAGGTTGGCTCCCATTTTGTTTCACGGCTTCCTGGAAAAAGGTAGCTCGTTCAACTGGATCATATAACTGCATTAGTTGTCTAGCTCCAGAATTTAAGGTACTCAATTGACATACGATAAGGCTTGTCACTTTTCTTCCTCGAGGCCGCAATTTTCTCCAGCTTTCCGTCGCGAACTTGGGCCCTATGCAGCCTCTTAGAATCGCGTGAGTATTGATGAAGAGAATCCACGGCCCCCTTCTTTTTGGCAATGGCCTTGCGAGTCCTCTCGAAAGTCTTGGGCATTGTGGAGACGTTATATATAACTAATGAGTGGTGAAAGTGAAGTTGTAAGTGGCAAGGGCTGCAAAATAGCCCGTGCTAGATATTCGACGTTAGATATGTAAGATGAGTATTTTCGAGATTTTTGTTTGTCAAAAGAACTGGTGGGGCAAAAAAAAAAACAAGACTTTCTAGGAATGGATAAAGTGATCGAATATCAGGGGTCTCTTAATTACCTAAAGGTTAATGCAAGGTCAGCCTCTTGTAGTAGATACGTGACTTATGTTATATACACTGTATGACTTAGGACACCATACTAACTTTTTCCAAGTAAATCTTACTTCGTTTGCTGCTGAGCTAAGGTATTTGTAGTTTAGCGCAGGTCGCGAGTACAGGCTATTGGTTGGACCCACGTTGCTCTCCCGACCGCACGGTGCGCTAGGTGAACTTAGGAAATCGCGGTGTAGCACTCCACGACGCGGTTTACTCTTTTATTGAATAATTCCTTGAGCCGCAGAGGCTGGAATTACCTTCCAGTCAAGGATCCATTTTTACTATTTCACGCGTCCAGTCTTCCTTTATCAATCTACCAGACTTCTCTTAACATCAATTCGACATCCTCTACTTCTGTCATCTGTCATACTTCCACCCTTCATTTCCCCCCCCAGCATTTGGTCGCCTTTTGCTCTTGAAGCTTTGACCTCCTCTAATTCAATGTTATTCTAGGCGTGTTTACATACACCTGTTGTCAATCAATCATTGTCTAGGACTCGAATCATCTAATTGACTGCACCCGAAATTACAATCCCGTCATATTAGCTCATTCCCCCTTTGCTACACAAAGGATTGGATTTATTACTGTGCGGGCATTTCAACGTTCAATTTCTCTGATGGCCACGAAGACTCTATAGATCTTACAATTTGGGCGCGGGAGGAGAGCCCTCTATATTGCTCTTCGAGATGGGTATTCAAGGTATGTATTGTATAGTGGTCTTAGCTAAGTCTAAGGAACACTAAGGGGCATGGAACTGACTTTTATAGGTCTGCTTCCATTACTCAAATCAATACAGCGACCAACAGAATTAAAAAAGTATGCTGGCGAGACGATTGGCGTCGACGCCTATGGTTGGCTGCATCGGGGTGCCGTGCCGTGTGCAATTGAACTCGCTCAAGGCAAGCCTACACGAAAGTAAGTACCAACGACCATACCCTGTCAGAATATCCTTCTCACAAACCTATTAGATATGTAGACTTTGCCATGAGCCGGGTTAGGATGCTCAAACATTTCGGTATCACACCTTACTTGGTTTTTGACGGCGGTTTTTTGCCCAGCAAGGCCACAACCGAGGCGTCTCGTGGGAAACGCCGAGAAGAATGTAGGAAGGCGGGCCTCGAACTTCTAAAGGCTGGTAAACCTTCTCAGGCACACGCCGAGCTCCAGAAAGCTGTCGACGTCACCCCTGAGATGGCTCGACATTTAATTGAAGAGCTAAAGAAAGCTGGCGTGCCTTATGTAGTTGCACCTTACGAAGCTGATCCGCAACTGGTGTATCTGGAACGTGAGGGTCACATCAGTGGCATTCTCTCCGAAGATTCGGATTTGCTGGTTTTTGGAGCCAAGCGATTATTAACTAAACTGGATCAGCACGGTCAATGCATTGAGATAAACCGCAGAGACTTCTGTGCTTGTCGTGAAGTCTCTCTAACAGGCTGGACAGACGCTCAATTTCGACATATGGCTATTCTTAGCGGTTGCGACTATCTGGATAGTATCAACAACTTAGGACTGAAGACCGCGCATAGGATGATCCGAAAGCACAAGACACCTGAAAAAGTGGTCCGCATGCTGCAGTTTGACGGCAAACATCGAGTCCCTACTGATTATTTAAAATTGTTTCACCAAGCCGAGCAGACTTTTCTTCATCAGTGGGTCTTCTGTCCAAAGGCAGATAAGCTTGTCAACTTTACGCAACTTAGCCCCGAGGTCAAGATCGACGAACTCCCATTCATTGGGCCCCCCATCGAGCCAGAAACTGCCAAGGGGATTGCTGCTGGAGACGTAAATCCAATCACTAAACAAATCATTGTGCTCCAAACTCTACCCTCACCGAGGAAACGTACTGCATCAGGAACTGCTCGCAACATGCCTCAAACCCGCACAGCCCAAGAGCCTCCTAAGAAGCCCATCGACTCTTACTTCAAGGGTCATCGCCGAATCCCTCTAGGTGAAATGGAGCCGAATTGTTTCTCTGTTGACCCTACACGCCTCGCTAGCATGACTGAAAACGGTAACCGACCGATCGTATACCCGCTTCCAAGACCATATCTAGACGAAACTGCACCTACCACATCCGCTGGCCGGCGCGCGTATATCACGCGGCCTGAAAGCTCCGCCCGTACTCTTCGACGTCGAACTGAACCAGTGGGCAATCTACTCGGCAATAGTGATCACACTTTGGCTTCTGGGTCTCGTCGCCAGACTACTGGTCCAGGAATCAATGCTCCAAGCAACTCCGAGAGCACAGGAGCCGCTCATCCCGTCCGACCACCTAAGAAGGCACGTCTATGTGACGATGCTAGTTCGGGGCGAAGTCCCGGAAAGCAGAGAAGCAAATTTTTCCCACGCGGTATTGTGAAGGGCGCCACCTCTAAGAAAACAGAAGGCTATTTAATGTCGGATGATTCTATCGAGGAAGCTCTACAAGATCTCCCGGATTTTGGTGGATGGAGTCCCTCGCTAAAGGGCCAGAAGGAAGTTATGGTTTATCAGGAGTCGCAATCAGTTTCGGCCGACACCGAAATATCTAAGGATGACGAGTCATATATCGAAAATGACACCAGCGAACCCACTGCCTCGATACAGCTTCCAAACACCCCCAGCATCACCAAGCGCTTTAGCTACGGACAAGGCCAAACACGTAGCCAGAGCACCTCTACGTCTTGCTCGAGTCGATCTTCACTCGCCGGAATTACTCCTGCCACTTCCGTTATGTCGTCTACGCCGTCTTCGTCCGTACAACTATCGACTGGTAAGACGACGCCGGCGACACCGCTTCAGCGACTCGGCATCAAGGCCTTGGGGCGCGGTGGCCAGCCGCCTACACCTACGTTCGCGGTTCCACGGCCTATAAAGCGTTCTAGTTTGGGTAGGCGGAGTATAGACTCTATGCCTATTAACCCAGCTTTCGTTCCCTTGCCTCCCGTCGACTTGGAAGAGGTGGAAGCTTTACACAGGCCTATGGGCAGCGAAGACCTGATAATACCGGAGAGCGAGAATGACGAGGTTTTGGATGAACAGGAGAACTTGGGCTCGGACAAGGGTAAGGCCGGACGTAGGCGGATGGACTTGTCAAGGTTTCTCTTTGCTTAGATGTGAGGTCTTCAGCACACGGCACATGTTTTTTCTTCTACAGGTCCCTGAGGAATTTGATGGCGTAGGACGGTCATATCAGCATAGCGGCGGAGTTAGGGGTTACAACGGTCAAAGCAAAGGCGTCTCGGTATAAACTATTTTATAGGCACAAAAGGGCCACAATTGCAGTTTCTCCTTTGAAGGGTGGCTAGGAGAATAACAAAATTAACTAGCTATAATTGTATGACTGACAAATCATGATGTGTGAAACGGTGTATGGGTATTAAAATCGTGCTCGCAAATGGTGATAGAACATTACAGTAACTATCCTTTGTTCGGGCGTACAAGAGTATAAAAGAGTTGGCAAGTAAAGATTCTTTGTCTACCTAGGTAGGTAGGTAGGTAGGTAGGTAGGTAGTTGTACTAGTTACTACTAATTCAATAGTATTGTTTCAGTTGGTCATGTACAGTAGGAAGTATGTAGATAGGTAGGTAGTTTGTAACAATATGGTATTGATGGTGTAAATGTTGTTGCATATATGTACCTAGGTACCTAGGTATATTAGCGTTGGCATCCTTCAAGTGCCCTTACAACATGTGTACCTCATACATATAACAGCACTTGAACCTACCTAAACTGGACGGCTGCCTAGCGCTACTTCCTACCTGGGTTTCTTTCGAGGCCAATTTGAGCAGGCATAAGTTGTAAGTTGGATTGATAGGGTTTTTAATAGGTTAGTTAAGGTGCCGAAATATTGCCGGTGCTCCACCTCTGACACGGAGGGCGGAAGGGCGGACCAGCTGGCAGGATGAGAGTGGAATAAGCGCAGGTACATGGCGCGAGTCCTGGTAGTAAGTTGCGTCAGAAACCCGCGACTGCCGACGTTACTTAGCAAAGCCTAAGCAGGCAATGGCAAGGCAGTAACCTAACCTAGGTAGGCAAGTAGGCAAGTAGGCAGTAGTAGGCAGTAGTAGGCAGTAACTTACCGGTTCTACCTTCTACCCAAGCAGCGCAGAGGTAGTGTGACCTTGGCCCACTAATGGCCACCATCGGCCAGCAGCAGCTGCCAACCAGGCCCAACCCACCAACAACCATTCAGCGTACAGCGTACAATACAACGTACCAAGTACAACACTTAGGTACTGCCAACGCTTATCACATCTTATTCCATACATATTCTGATTTTATGACACTTCAACTTCTGCCCAGCATTCTGGTGTTTTGTGTGTTTTGTCACTCTTCGAAGTACGTCTAAGAGATTCCGGTTGCTATTTTACGGCTGAGGCATCTATACATATTCTTAAGCCAGATCTAATACGCTCTCTTCTCCATTCCAGCCATTGCCATTCCATTTGAACCCCTCCTATCCAGCTGACGAGGCCACCTCCTCAATATTCAATATTCAATATTACATGTTCGCCGCCTTACTTTTCTTTTAATTGCTTTCAAGCCTTTTTTATTATCCTGTGTATCGTATTGTATCACATGCTTACATTGCCTATTTAGGCCGAGTTATTCACCCACGTTGTCTGCTTGTCTAACCCGCGCACTCGTAAACGGACGACAATAGACAGTACCCGAATAAGCAAACCTCAACATACGGGCGGTCCCTTATTACCAAATTATCGAGAACAAACGGTTATACCCGCAACATCTATTTACTGTTGCACGTCGTGCCTTTGAGCAACCTCCGATACCCAACCTCCGAGGCTCGTCGGCGGCGAGCATCCCCAAGCCAACATTACCAACCGACAAGATTCCTCCCACAACGAGGAAGCGGAAAGCCGCTGAGGCGAAGATTTCCGCAGACACCCCCGAGGCCCTTCCCATCAAACGAATCCTCGCCTCAGCAGCTGCTACAGACGCAGCGCCTCCAACTCCGATCACCGGTATGGATTCGGACGAGGATTTTGTCTCGACTATTTCGAGCGGGGATGATATCATGCAAGATGACACCGACAATGATGACCTGTCGGGTGCCGAGGGTATGTTTCATTTCTTTTCTCTGCCGTTGTCCGTTTCCCACGCATGACCCGTGCACACTAGCTAACTATTGATATTCGGTGTATTAGACTTCGATGTATTCGACGACGAACCCGATGACGTGCCCGGCATCCCTTCGCAGAAATCCGATAAGAAGAAAGGCGTGTCATTTGACATAAGCTACAAAGTATATACACCGCACGACATAGAGCACCAACAAGAAGAAATGATCGATGAGGTTAACATGATCTTGGAAATGAGTAAAGAGGATGCTGCTATTCTATTGCGTCACTTCAGATGGAATAAAGAGCGCTTAATCGAAGACTATATGGATAACCCAAATAAGGTCCTAGAGGCAGCTGGTCTAGGTCCCAGCTCCTCCGCTCCACTCAAATTAGAGGCTATACCAGGTTTTGCTTGTGATATATGTTGCGAGGATGAGGAGGGTCTTCGCAGCTTCGCTATGAAATGCGGCCATCGCTACTGCGTCGACTGCTACCGACAATACCTTACGCAGAAGATTCGCGAGGAGGGCGAGGCAGCCCGTATTCAATGTCCCGCCGATGGTTGTCATCGTATTATTGATGCGCGGTCCTTAGATATGCTAGTAACAACCGAGCTTGCCGATCGATACCAAGAGTTACTCAACCGCACGTATGTTGAGGATAGAGATGCCCTCAAATGGTGTCCCGCTCCCGACTGCGAGAACGCGGTTGAATGTGCTATCAAGAAAAAGGACCTAGACAAGGTAGTACCGACGGTTGCCTGCGGCTGTGGCAGCAGATTCTGTTTTGGCTGCATACTCAGTGATCACCAGCCAGCGCCTTGCGAGCTTGTTAAAAGGTGGCTAAAGAAGTGTGCAGATGATAGCGAAACTGCAAACTGGATCTCTGCTAACACCAAAGAATGCCCCAAATGTAACTCTACAATCGAGAAGAATGGGGGTTGCAACCACATGACATGTCGAAAATGCAAGCATGAGTTTTGCTGGATGTGCATGGGCTTATGGTCGGAGCATGGCACGAGCTGGTACAATTGTAACCGATTTGAGGAGAAGAGCGGGACGGAAGCGCGCGATGCTCAGGCAAAATCACGGGTATCTCTGGAGCGATACCTACACTACTATAATCGGTACGCGAACCACGAACAGTCGGCGCGTCTAGACAAAGACATCTATCAGAAAACAGAAAAGAAGATGGTGCAATTACAGACGGCGTCAGGCATGTCGTGGATCGAAGTACAATACCTAAACTCGGCGTCGCAGGCGTTGCAGACGTGTCGGCAGACTCTAAAGTGGACTTACGCGTTCGCTTTCTACCTAGCCCGGAATAACCTCACGGAGATTTTCGAGGACAACCAGAAAGACCTTGAGCTTGCGGTTGAGGCGTTATCAGAGATGTTCGAGAAACCCATCTCTGAGTTGTCGGCGCCCAAGCTCAAGGTTGATATCATGGATAAGACGGCTTACTGCAACCGCCGACGGGTTATTCTGTTAGAGGACACAGCGGACAACTTAGCAAATGGTAAGCTTTAAAGGATTCCAGAGTAATATCTCGATAGTAATTGGCTAACCATCCGTTTTTCTCTCGTCGCAGGACGATGGACTTTTAACGTAGACCTAAAGAGCAACGCTCCGGGAGCGAGCGGGACCAGCTCTCGCGGATAAATTGTATTGTGTGTAACGGCATCGATAGATAGAAGGTGACCATGGCCGGAGTTTAGGACGTGGTATCATTATTTTATTGCCAGTTTACTTTCAATTCATGATGAATCGCATTTCGAATACAGTCAGTCTGTGGCTCTTGCTCTGATTGACAAGAATGTCAGTATGGACTATTAGTACCTAGGTACATAGCTATTAGATACATATTTGCACGAGATTCTCTATCTGCTTTCAGCGGGAGTCTTGGGAACAATAGAAGATTTGACGAGCTTATGAATGATATCTTGGGTAATATCTTGGGGGTTGTTATGCATAGATGTTTACATACCTGGCAGCCTGGTACAAGTATATACTATGCCTAAGGTAGCCGTAACGGTGACCAAGTGGTATGGAAGTGATATGCTTATGACATACAGTGCGAACCATGACCATATGAACTCATAACTTCAGGCAAATTTAGTAACATGCCTCTAAGACAACGCTTCTTACCGTGCGGCATTGCCTTCGGAGAAAACTGTGCAGGCCTATCAGGTTATTAGGTCATTAGGTCATTACATGTATGTAGGTATGTATGCAGGTTTAGGTATTAGGTATTAGGTACTTGGTACATATTGTACGCAGGTTCACGTCATAGTTCCCGTTCCCGCATCTACTAGGTTTAGCGTATGTACCATGTATGTGAGAAGGTAAGGTTCGCATACGTAAGGTATGTAGTGTATTTCGTACGTACATACCTAGGTACCCAGCATCTCGACCTCCATCTACATGTATTAAGTATTCCCCATATCATATCGCGGAGAGCAACTTCTTCGCATTTAGCCCCCAGACGCCAATTTTGTGGCTTATTGATTTCTTTTCTTTTTTCTTTTTTCTTTTTTTTTTAACCTCGACTCCGATTTTCTTTTCCCTCTTCCTTTTTTTTTTCTCTACCTCGCATTTTCGAATTGGATATCCTATACCTACCTGGGTACCTATACTATAAACTAAACCTCCTAGCTAGATACTCACCTCTATATCCACACCCACCACCGCAATGGCATTCCGCCTCGCCCTGCGCCGCGGGCCCTGCGCCTTCTCCCCTGCGTCGGCTTCTGCTTCGTTCGCAGCACGCCGCTTCCACGCCACGCCGCGCGCCTTTGTGAAGGTCGGCGAGCCGATCCCCAGCTTGGAGGTGCTGCAGGAGGGGTCCCCAGGCAACAAGGTCAACCTGGCGCAGGAGTTCGAAGCGGCGAACGGGGTGATTGTCGGCGTGCCCGCGGCGTTCTCGGGCGCGTGCTCAGAGAAACATGTCCCGAGCTATATCCAGAGCCCGAAGCTGAGGGATGCGGGCAGGGTGTTTGTTGTTAGTGTTAATGATGCTTTTGTGTGAGTGCTGCTTCTTTTCTTTTGGGCTTTAGGAGGGGTGTTTGGCTGGGGGGGGGGGGGGGGGGACATGTGGTGCCTTGGAAATAGGGAGGAGGGAGAGGGGAAGAAAAGAGAAGAGAAGAGGTATTGTGAAGGAATACGCTTAGCGGGGTTCTCGAGAATAGGATAGCTTGGGTGCGGGCAATGAGGGCACTCTAGTTACCTATCTACACACCTAAACGCCTAATTTAACCGGGACGGCACGGGAGAAAATGGGTTGGAGAGTGGGAGGCTAACGTTTAGCAGCATGAAGGCATGGGGTGATCAGCTTGATCCCACACATGAGTCCGGTGTAAGTCCAGCCAAAGCTACCTACCTAATGTATGAATGTATGATTTAAGTGTATCTAATCGCTAAACCTCTTTGATAGATCCGATTCCTGGCTGACCCCGCCGGCGAATTCACCAAGGCCTTAGACCTAGGCTTTGACGCCCCGGCCATCTTCGGCGGCATGCGGGCCAAGCGCTATGCCTTGGTCGTCGAGGACGGCAAGGTCAAGTCGGTGCACGTTGAGCCGGATAACACCGGAATCGACGGTGAGTATTTATTCTTTGTGATTTCGTTTGTGTAGGGAATGCTGACTCTGGCTTAGTTTCCATGGCCGACAAGGTTCTGGGTTAGACGTGGTTATGTGGGTTAGTTGATGTGGATGGGCTATTAAAAAGATCTCGTTCCGAGGCACGTAGAAGACTGCGGTCGTTTGTATATAAACGGATACGATGATTTGATGACACTTTTGGCTTTTGCTCACAACGTCGTTACCTAGCTGCTGTAGCCCGCGCTCGCTGATTAGTCTAAAGTAAATACGCAAAATATTATATCTTAGAAGGCTTGATACTGCTCTAAGGGGGCTATCGTTCCGATGACTAGTTCTGGCAGGACTGCGTCAACAGACCGCCTTACCTTAAGATATGGTATACCCATTCTCATACCATATAAAACTACAAGTGAACGAACAACTATCAGTTGATTATTTAGTATTTATCTAACAGTGTCCTGCAATAAACTAACTGACTTACATGATGCCAGCAAATAAAGCCTAGTTACCTAACAAGCCAATCTATAGGTGCCTCCTAACAATCCTCATCCGATTCCGGACGCCGATCTGAACCAACCCGTCATGATTTTATAACAAGTACAAGCCATTATAGGTATTCCCCCTATCGAAACATCACAAAGCCTTGACGGCGGTGAAGAACGGATTTGCCAGGAGCTTCTCGTCCTTCTTCACGAGTTCCCTTAGACGGCTTACCATCTCCTCCTTGCTCATGCTTCCGCCCTTGACCTCGTCCTTCCAGCGGACTAGTACTTCCTTCAGCCTAGCGCTACCTTCTTCTACGTCTTCCTTTCCGTAGTTCTGCTGCGTGGTCTCGTGCTTGGCCGTGAAGTCTTCTAGTTCGTCTGCCTTGCGCTTTGCCATACGCACGACCTTGTCTGGGAATCGCACTAGTTCCGCAACGTGGATACCGAACGACTGGTCGCAGATACCGGGCTCGACTTTATACAGCAGTGTGACCTCGCGCTTGTCGACGCCCTCGCCGCCGGCCGACGATATATGCGCCGTCACGTGTAGGTTGCGCACCTGCGGATGCTGGTCCGCGAGAGCCGTTAACTCGTGGAAATGCGTCGCGAACATGGCGGAGCAGCCGATCTCCTTGATGATGTGCTCGCTAATAGCCCAGGCTAGCCCGAAGCCGTCGTAGGTTGACGTACCGCGGCCCAGCTCGTCGATGATGATTAGCGACTCGGCTGTCGCCGACTTCAGAATGTTCGCTGTCTCCAGCATCTCCGCCATGAACGTCGAGACTCCCTTGAGCTGCGAGTCACTAGCGCCGACACGCGCGAGTATAGAATCGAAGATGGTGAGCTCGGCTTCGGTGCACGGAACAAAGCACCCAATTTGCGCCATGAGCGCGATGACTCCAATCTGTCTGATGTACGTTGATTTACCGCCCATGTTAGGTCCTGTGATAATTAAGAAAGAGGATTCGTCACGACGGAGTTCGACATCGTTTGTGATAAATTGGATGTCATCTTGCATCTCCATACACGGATGGCGGGCCTCCTTTAGAATGGTAGACCCCTCCCCTCGAGGGTGGATGGTAGGACGAACGTAGGATGTGGGCGCGTGGACTGAGCAGTGCGCGAATGATACGATGACGTCTAGATGTGCTAGGACGCCGGCAAGCTGTTCAAGTACGGGACTGTAAGACGCAGCAACACTTACAACCTCGTTGACTAAGCCTTTTTGCGTCCTGTCGTAGGTCTGAGATAGCTGATCGAACTCTCGGCGATATGATTGTAGCGACTTTGTAGTGAAGTACACGCCGTTCTTCTGTGTTGAGCACTCCTGGTAATGGGAATTATTGCGAATACAACCAGCTTCAGTTCTCGTTAACCGCATGCACCAGCCATGAACCTTGTGGTTTTCAAGGAATATCTTCTTGTTTTCTTCTTGGTTTAGGTCGTCTGCCGCTTTTCGGAATTCGTTATCCATATTCGACCTAAGCTTGTCGAGTTTTCTCCGCACAATGCGCAAGTTATCATCAAACTCGGGCTTGATTATGAACTCGTGGTTATCAAGGGCGTCGAGGTCAACAGTAGTTTCCACCATATCAGCGAGCTTTCCAAGACTATCAGAAAACCCTCTTAGTTTGTTGGTATACGCCTCGTCTAACGGATCTTTGTACTTCTCATCCATCACAGCCTCTAGTGTTCCTAGGAACCCGGGTAAGCGAATAACAACCTGGTATGCTCGAACGACGTCTTCTAAGTTTGCCTTGTTTCGTTGGAATCGTTTTGCTAGCCGGTAGAGGTCCGGTACGGACTTGAGATGCTCCTCTTGCATGGTCTGGCGTAGCTCCGTATCATTAACGAAGGCTTCAACTAATTGTTGGCGCTTTTCGATCTCATTTTTGTTCATTAGGGGCTGCTTTAACCATTGTGATAGCAACCGGCTACCGACCGGCGTTTTGCAATGATTAAGCAATCCGTATAAGCTCATCGTCTTAGAGCCGTCCCTTGCACCAGGCATTAGATTAAGAGCTTTGAGGGCAGCAGCATCAAGCTTCATAAACTGGGATAGGTCGTGTTGGTACAGCTGGTACTGACCAAAGTTGGATGGGTCTTGGAGAACAGCTAGATATTTGACCAATGCTGCCGCGGACCCCATGGCCAACTTTAGATCGGTCTGTGGAAGTAGAGTTGCGGATCTCTCATCCTTCAGCAATCGAGCAAGATCCTGCTCGATGTCTTTTGTTCCAAAATCACCAGCTGGCCTCTCAGCCATAGCAACTCCGCAGTTGTCTATAATCTGTTTAAGCTTGGCTAATTCAGGGTCTTTATCCTTCTCGGCCTTGTCTATTTGGACGAGACACTCCTTGACACCAAGTTGGATAAGGAGGGCCTCGAAGTTGGAGTATTGGTCATTGTCAAGAAACTCGCTAACTCCAAGCTCTCGAACACTAGCATCAGCAAAGCAGACGCCTACACTCCTAGCCTCAGTAGCCTTAGCCGAAATCTTGACAGCCAGTATCATAGGCGCAGACTCGAATTGTCCACCGAGCTCCTCTTCAACATCCTGCAGGTTCCCGGGAGAGGCTTGCTTGACAATCTTCCAATTCATCCGGCTACCGCTGCTAGCATATATCTCGATGCGCTTTCCAAGCTTGAACAGAGCTTCTCGAAGGAATTGCCTGAATACGGTGACCGTCATAGTGACGGATGGCAGACCGCTAGCATCGTTTCGTCCTAGCTGTCGCACAACGGAGGTGGTTTTGTAGACGGTTCTCGCAATGAAATTCGCATCTTGGCCGTGGGCGGTGTACCAGTCGCCTCGGTCGAATATACGGACAGTCTCTTCGCCTACGGACGGCAGTGATTTAAAGAAACGTATGAATCCATGTTCATCATCGACCTATCATCGGCTTGGTTAACACTACGTTATAAATGAATTCAAACTTGATAGAACTATACCTTTAACTCGGGTCGGGAAGACATCTCGTCTTGTCTTGTCTTGAAGTACTAAATTCTTAGTCTAGTAACCTAAGTACTTCACTTTAATGCAATAGAAACAGGAAGGGGACTAAAATAGAATGGCCCAGTTGAGAATCTCGAATCTGGTTACATTCTTTGAAGTGTAATGTTTCAATTAACGTAAAAAGAAAGACACAGGGTCTAAGTTAAGGTTAAGTCTTAAGTCTTAAGGGTCCGAGTCCCAAGTCGCGTCCAAAAATCAATTAAAAGCTACGAGACGCGACGGAACGCGCTAAAGTTTAACAAGCTCTTACCCCGATAAGCCCGTTACAGTTGCAGGCGCGCTACTGCATCTACTGCATGACCTAAAACCTAAAAGCCCCAGACCTTCCCTAAGCTTTTTGTGCTGCGGGGGTTGTCGCCTTTTATTTCAGCTCCATTTTCATTTTCATTTTCATTTTCAAACTTTTGACACCCCACTACGGAATAAATACAAAAACTCCCAAATCTTTTCAAGACCCTAGGAACCATGGCAGACACCATAGAGGCAGTCGCGGAAAATGACGGTTCATTACAAATGGCTTCCAGTGCTAATGTCGGAGTTCAATCCCAAGAAAATCCAGATGCGACAACGGAAGTTCAACCGTCCGCGGCTACCATCACGAACAGTCCTGAAAAGCGCGGAGCGAAACGACCTTTCCATGGCGATTTTAGCGAGGAAGAAGGCGATCATAACGATGGAGGATCCATAGAGGCTACCAACGGGACCGATGCGCCGAAGTTGTCCAAGAACCAACAACGAAAATTAAAACGTCAAAAAATGTGGGAAGAAAAGAAGCAAGAAAAGAAAGTTCTACGTAAAGAGAAACGACACGAAAAGCAGGAAAAAAAGAGATTGAAAAGAGAGGCTGAGATTGCTGCCGCTGCTGCCGAAGGAAGAGAACCTGTGTTCCAAGAGCCATCCAGGAGACAATCTAAATCCGCTACCAAAGTGCCTATCACGGTTATATTCGACTGCCAATTTGAGAAGTATATGATGGGAAAGGAATTACCATCTTTGTCGAATCAGATCACTAGATGCTATTCTGATAACAGGAATGCCCAGTTCCCCGTCCATATGTTTATTAGTTCATATGGCGGCCAGATGAAGGAAAGACACGAGACCATCCTTCAGAACCAGTTCAAGGGTTGGAAGAACGTCCAATTCATAGAAGGCGATTTTATCGAGGCTGCTGCCAAAGCCAAGGAGATAATGGCAAGTCCGTCTGGCGGCACCGTAATCGACCTCCTTGCGCAAGGCAATGACCGCGATTCGGTTTCATTTTCTGAGGTCAGCCAAGACTCCAAAAAGAAGCAGAAGACTACTCCGGTTGCCGAACCCGAGGCCGATGATGTAGACAAGTCCGTTGTCTATCTGACTGCCGATTCGCCCTATACTCTCGAGCGTTTAGAGCCCAATACCTGCTACGTCATTGGTGGTATAATCGACAAAAATCGCGAAAAGGGGCTATGTTACAAGATCGCACGAAGCAAAAATGTCCGAACAGCAAAGCTTCCTATTGGCCAATACATGGTCATGCAAAGCCGCCATATCCTCGCCACAAACCACGTCATGGAAATAATACTCCAGTGGTTGGAGACGGGAGACTGGGGCACTGCCTTCATGAACGTCATTCCTATGCGAAAAGGAGGAAAGCTAAAGGAAGACGGAAATGCCTCCGATGTAGGCCTTGAAGAGCCAGAAACTGCGCAGGAGGATGCCCAGGATGCTCAGGATCCCGTCCAAGTAGAAGGAGACAATGCCGAAGATGGCCTTGAAAAGAATTCGTTGAGTCAACAACGATGGTCAGCGCCACCGATTGAACAAGAAGCAGAAGCAGAAGCAGAAGCACCCGTCGGCAACACTCTTAGCTGACTGAAATAGCCTACTTCACTAACCACTACGTCTAACAGATCTATTTACCGATTAGCAAGCAGCACAGCACCCTCCTTGTAACGCTACATTCATGCCCGCTTCAAGCGCTATTGGGTAGGCTTGTCGCCTCCGTAGGAGTACCAAGCGACTACCATCCTCGAGGTATATATAAGACTCCAAATTCAGGTCTTCCTGCTCTTACATGTGCAAGTATCTGAATATCTGAATACAATTCCGGAGAGCCAAGATGTGTGCAAAGGTCGAACTAGTGCGTTATTATTTCAGTCTTCAAGATACCCCAGTGTCTGTATTTCCGAGTCATGGAATAACGACCAGCAACGTGTCAATTTCTTACTTGTGCTTCTATATCTGTTTAAAATTATACGTATACCGAATATATTTGACCAGCGTCGATAGTGACAATCTATGATGCTGATCTTAAGTTTTGACCCCATCCCTCATATACTATCCAGGAGGTCCGATCTAAGCGTCGTATCCATCCCATGTTACTTGCTTATGTGCCCCCGCATTCATATAAAGGATAACATGTCAGCCATGAAATCAATTCAAGATATAAGCACAATTATCACAAATTATCATCATCGTATATATTTATATCATTGTTCTAGTAAGAGGTATGTTCCTAGTTTTTGTTTGTGTTCTAAAAGCAGGCTTTAAGAATAAGGGCCCATCGACACCAATAGTCATCTACACAAGGTACCTAGGAGGTAGTAGAAAATATATAGGTACAACGATCCAGTCTTAGAACTCGAGGATTTGAGAGAGATAGGGGCTGAATTTGCTCCGGCCCGCCTTAACAGCCTCCATCCATTCGCTATACGAGTTTGTCGGCCCGGCGGTTTTATTGGTCATCAAGTCCTGTCTGCGAAGACCAGTCAATACCTGGGCCGCCGAAGCGCGAAGGGAAGGGTCGTAAATCGCCATGCTCCGGATAAACTGCAAGTCTTTGCTAGTTGAGGCGATATTCAGAACGGCTCTGCGGACATCGGATTGTCTCTGTAGTCTCCCTGTTTCGACCCTATGGCGGAACAGTTGCTCGTTGTAAACCCACAACATGGTCACGTACAAAGACCACATGTCCGCCCTAGGCGTCTGTTGCTTCTGACCATCGTATACCTCAGGTGCCATGAAGACTAAGGTGCCGGCCTGACTCCTTCCTAGGTCCTGGAGGACCGACAGACCAAAATCAGCTAGTTGGAAGACATTGCGCTCTTCTCCGTTTACGATAGTTACATCGTAAAGAATGTTATCCGGCTTTATATCGCGATGTATGAGCTTATGAAAAGCAAGATAATCGAGCGCGGACAACATCTGTAGTAATACAGCGTTGCCATTTTTCTTCAGGTCGTCGTATGATGGATACTTGCGCACTAGGCTGGCCAATGTTCCCTTTTTCATGGGCATAAATATCTCAACAAACCCCGTGTCCCAGCCTTGCGAGCCAAGATAATTCACGATATTGTTGTGCTTAAGTTTTGAAAGTATAACTGTTACATACGGGGTCAGCATTCTCTTTATAGTATTAGAGCACTAAGCTTTTGTTAACAAAGAAAAATAGAAAATCCAGAGGCATGCTAGAAAGGGGTAATATGTAATACTTACAGACTTCTCGATCTCGGGTGGATATCAAGGTGTCTAGCCAACGACGATCTTTATGGTTAGCAGGCCGATGCAGTAGCTTAACGGCCATCACGCCGCCGGAGTACATGTCAACGGTTTTCAGAACTCTGCCAAACCCGCCCCTCCCAAGTTCAACTATTGGATGATGTTTTATTGGATCCGGGACATTTGTCCAATGTGTCTGATCCTTAAAAGTCCAGAGCTCCTTACCTCTTCTAGCCTCGGAAGCTTCTGAAATTCGCCTCTTCACAATGTCCAGGATTTTGTCTGGTCCGAGGTTCCAGATAATCTCGAACCTTGCTGGATTGTCTTGGGATCCTAGAGAAATCATGCTGTTAACTCCTTTCATAACTACTGCACGATGGTATTGACTAGAAGACATGTTAGTTTTGGATTTGGCGTCCTGGTAAACGCGAGTCTTTCCGGAAGATTCATCCTAATCTAGAGTTAGCTTTAATGTTTTAGAACGACGCAACAACAGACTCCATTTAAGTTGTAAAAGATGGGCTTATCAAAGGAGAGGGTTTGGGGAATACGATATCACGACTCTGGATAGGGGGGACTTACTTGAAGTACTACGATACCCGTCTCATAGTTGATATAGAAGGTACAGTGTACGCTTTCAATATCGTCTCCGCTTATGTAGGCATCAGTCTTGCTTCGGCTACTACCCATCGTTGCGATAGTAAGGATTTTATTACTGTTCTTGGTTGGAAGAGTACTTCCAAAATTGAAGCAGCGTTTCCCATGCCACTTGCTCGATGTGTAATCCTCATTATACTTGTGTGATACCACCTTCTCGGCTCTAGTATTGAGAGGTTTCAAGGAGAATATCAACTGGTTTACTGGGCGGTTATCCATACTTAAGAATCAAGACTGATATGTGCGTTACGGTGCAGACGTTTGGTTCCGTTACCTATTGATAATGATTATCCAAGTGCATAAGGAAAGATTACCACATGGGAAATGCGATTCATTTAATGATTATGTATTGAAAGGACTGAAACAACACATAGATAGGGTTAACGAGTTTGTATCTAGTCGTTTTGGCTAAGACAAACCACCACAATGTATTTGTATTATTGTGGGTTAACAAGAATGGCTTGAGAGACGATAGTTTATATGTTGTTATAGCTTTGAACGAAATTGTAGAATAACTATCATGAGCTATTTAAACGCAACAAACCGCTCTGAGTGTTGTTTTATACTCGATCTCCATACTTGACAAATCCGACTGACTATTAGTATCTACAACCAACACGTTCTACGCTGATTCCATTCCTCCTTCTAAGAACAAGGGGGGAATAAACTAAGAAAGGGCTACTGTACATTCGACTACCCAAAACGAAGCTACCGGCGACATGGAGCACATAAACAGGAACAAAACACCCCTCACTCAAGAGCGGCTCAGGGAATTGGTTTTCGAGGAAATCATGTCGCTTTTAGAAGAAGGCAAGAAGGACTTCGTTGAATCTCATATCTTAAGTCGTCCAATCCACGAGTATGCTACGGAATTGTCGCGGAGGTATGCAGGACTTCCGTGTGAGCCCAGCCCTAGCGTTCCAGTCTCCCCAGCTCCAGGGAAATGCAGAGTTCTATCGCCTCTCGAAAAAGCCGAGATTCATCAGCAACAGTGCCAGCTTTGGGAACAGGTTTACCTCGAGCGTAAGAAATTCGCTGATAGCATGCGGTCCGACTCTCGCCAGATCGTGCTTCCCGCGAACTGCGCCGTCCGGAGCGCAAGACCTATTCTAGACGACAAGCCGGGAGTATTTCCGGGCGAGGCCTGGGAGAACAAGAGGGTGAATCCTGGGTTTATTCTCGGCCCGCTATCGCAATTCAAAGCATCGCTGGCAAAATCTCCAGTTACTGAAGTTGACGCCCCAGGTACAACGGAAACGAGAAGTGACGCCGTCGAGCCAGTAGATGGCGGATCTAAAACTAACGATGATGTGATGGAAGTAGAAGGTGGGGAAGAGACAACGACATCGTCTTAGAATCTCTTACTAGTGTTCATCATCTACGTAGAGCCTCTCCTGGAAGCATTTCAGTCTAGTAGCGTATGAGATTATACCCCCTTTCTGAGATAGTCATAATAAGGGAGCTGGCTTATAAATATACGCTGCCAGCAGATTATCATAGATTTTCCTACCGAGGCTGTAGTTAGTAATAAATCATATATCATAACTCTTTATACATGATAGTTAAGCCCTTTATATTCTTTGTGACATTGTTAAACACGTGAAGACAATGACATCCGCATGAATCATTTAATGTTCTTACCGTATAGAATAAATAAGTCATTACCGACCTACCTTTTACGAAACTTTCCCATGCATTTCAAAGCGCGTCTAATACATCCCCAGCATTCAAGCCACCAATTCACCACTACGCGAGTTCCGGACCTAAACACGCATTTGCAAGCAAAGTACTAGCCTCAATCCCTCGAGCAGCTCCCAGCTTCGACACGCCGCCGAGTAACACGAGCCCCTCGTACGAGAAGCCGGGGACACGTGTTGCTTGCCGGGAGATACAGGCGACGTGTAAGTAAACATAAGACACATCCGCGCGCCAGTAGAGCCGCATCCCATCCCATCCCATCCCATCCCATCCCATCCCATCCCATCCCATCCCATCCCATCCCATCCCACAGATGCAAGCAGAGCAAGGCCAAGGCACCACCCATCACCTAGATCTCTCCCTCCCTCCCTCCCTCCTGAACGCCCAGCACGGTACTATCCCTCGCGCGTACGAAGCTCCGACTCGGAGCTTCGCGGTACAAGAAAAAGGGGTCTAGTGAAGTTCGCTTCGGTTCGGGGAACAGGGAAGCCCACTTCTGAAGGACCCTTGAGGTTTCCCCCCCCCTCTTTCTAGGCTATGTATTGCTCCCGAGCCCATCGGCTGTGGGCGGTGGGTTGCGGTTACGGTTGCGGTTGCGGTTGCGGTTGCTTTCGAGCGCATGCATACATACGAGTATGGTTGTATACCTTAGGTATGTATTATATGCAGGCTATTTTAAGACACGGTAGTATGTGAGCGAGCATGGGAGCGCAATATATCTTATCTACGGTAGGGTCTACGGTAGGGTAGCGCTCGCTCACTCGCTCGCGCAAACATGCGCTTGTGTATTTAGATACAGACCAACTTATCGCCTCGTGTTCGCTCTCTCCTTCTCTCTGTCCCTGTCCCTCCCCCCTCTCCGCGGGACGGCGGATGGCGGGTAGCGGATATGGCGTGTCGCGGCAAGGATTTGGCGCACCGGCTAATTTGGATACTTGCTTCTTCTTCCTCTCCCTCTCCCTCTCCCTCTTCCTCCCTCTCCTCTCTCGTCTGTATTTCTCACCTGTGATTAATTCAATGGTTCCCTTCCCCTCCCAGGCCGGAGAAGAGCACGTTTCCCTGCATGATAGTCTATATGAATGAAATTACCTAGCTACGAGGGTAAGCGGGCGCTCGTCTCCTAGACCCGTTTCCTCGCGATGGAGCCACGTTTCCGGGATAAAGAGAGGTTGGCGCGGTGAGGAATTCTGGGAAGACGGGGGGGGAGGGAGTGACGCTATTTAAAGTGCAAGCACAGGGTCTCGTCGCTTACGCGGCAAGCAAATATATTGCGGTTGCGGAGATAGATTGATAGATTGTTCTATGAATAGCATGGCGAGATGCGTCGGTTATACAAAAGTGAAACGGGCAAATGGGCATCTAAGATTACTTCCTTTACAACACGGTGTGTCAACACCACCGCCCGCTTCTCGAGAACGGAGCTCGGTGTCCGTACTACTAACCCTTTAATAAAAAGCGTGATTGAAGGACTTAACTACTGCCGATGCGGCTTTGAATGCAAGACATAAGCTTAAACAAGGGGGGCAAGGGGGGGAGTTATTTATAAATTCGGTATAAGTTAATGGGAAACCTATTAGGTTACTACTTATGTATGCTGGTTAAAATATCGGTGGTGATAAATTAATGGCTGCGTATAGGTAGGACCTAGGCAGGTATTGTCCGGGATGTAATCTGTTTATTTTGAATTCTTAGAACCGCTGTACACTATTGTACAAAGGCCAGCAGGGGTCTTCGAACCGTAGGTTACTGCATAATTGTCTATACAGAGGAATACCGTTGTCGGGCTTAATATCTATCATAAGAATAAGAGGCAACTTGACCGCGAAATATGGCATTTTGCTTTTTTACTTTCTCGCATAACACAGCAACACCTTGATTTTATTATTATTGTGGCGTAAGTCATCCGCCAGTCACTCAGTCAGTCAGTCAGTCAGTCAGTCAGTCAGTCAGTCACTCAGTCAGTCACTCAGGGTTATTGAAGATTCCCCCGGATGACGGATCTGGATTAGTAGATCTCTGGATCTCAACCACAGGATCAGATCGGGGTAAAGCGATTGGACCAACTATTGGCCGAAGCGATGGAACGCGGGAGAGAAAAATCGTGTCTTGGGCTTGGGTCTTACTGCAGCAGCTGCTGACTTGCTGACGGGACGGAGTCAAATACCTGACTTCTTCGCCTCGACCTGCGGCCATACCTACGCTGCTTGGGTCTGTGTGTCCGTATGTCCATATGTATGTATGTATGTATTACGCGGGTACCTAGAAAGAGTAAAGTAATCCGACTGGTCAGTTGTAGTTAGTTCTAGTTGTAGTTCTCTCACTCTATCGTCTCTCATAAGGACAGACCATCCCATAAAGAAAGGTCCATCTCATAAATCTCATAAATCTCATAAATCTCATAAACGACCAGGGACACGGACTGGCAATTAAAACAAGCCTTTCCGGAAATCCTAAGCCGCTCATCTTAGTTCTTAGTTCTTAGTAGCGGTAACTCCGCTCGCTCGCTCGCAAAGTTGCCCCTGTTCCTCCCTGGAACCAAGGCATAGGTAACCCGAGACAGCGCTTACAATAGCTCGGGATTGGCTTGCGGTGCGGAACCCAGACAGGTAGGGTGCGGTAAATATATCCGTCTATGTACCTATATGATGTGCTGATAAACCGGCGTCGCGATTTTCGTGCTTATCGCGGTATTAGCTGTCGATCACTTGCAGTTTTCGGGGTTGCGATCCAGCTTGGCGGGGAGTTGGGATCGACCTCGTTTTTCTCTCACTCTTCCATCTCCATCACCATCACCATCACCATCTCCATCACCATCTCCATCACCATCTCCCTATCTCCCTCTCGATAGGACGAACTAGTGGGTTAAGCCACGTCTTTCCCTAGCTTTCCCTAGCTTATGTGAAGTAAAGTAGGTAAAACAAGGTAATTAACTAGAGAAGCAAATCTAGGCTGATTTGTGTCTAGGACCGGATGCTCCGATACTTAGCTATGGAATGAAGACGAGCAGACAATATAACAGGTATACAATATATTCTTTCCGTTGTGGTTTAGGTATGTCTCTAGGTTACCTAACTCATAAGATCATAAGAGAGATTATTGGTATCGGCCGAGTCCCGGGCATCGCTAGCCTTCTTCACCTATCTATGGCTTTATGTATGGCCCCCTAATGCCATGGCCGGCGTATCCCCGACTGGTTCCTTGAATGAAGACAAAGATAAAGAAAGCATCGTATCTTTAAAAATTACAGTAGGTACCTACCTAAGAGATATGAGATAGTTTATCTTGTCAGCTTGACTATCTCAGATGATGGGTGCATTTACGCGTCTAGTTTTTAGCAGACAGATCGATTTAGAATGGCACCCGTCATCTTTTGCATCGTGGGTAGCACAAAGCCCGTCCCATGCAAAATACGCCATAGCATCGCTGCATCATCCAGCTACGGTAATCAGCCGGACGCTCTAAGAACCACGTTCCTGGACCCAAGCCGCTGGTGGTTCTGGACGGGACGGAACTTTTGATCTTAGCTGGAATTCCAGAAGGGTTCTCTAGCAGAGAGAGGCAACACGTTTGTAGAGGCTATCTATCGTGTAAGTTGATTTTCGGTCTTAACACCGCAAGTATTCTGATTCGACTTCGACTTGGAAGCCAACAATAAACTCCCAATCAGTGAATGTCGCAAAGCTAGCGCGCTTCTTTTCTTTTCTCTTCTCTTCTGACTTGGTAGGACATGAAATATCTACCTACGTCTACACATACGGGAGCAGCTGAAAATTGATGATTGGCTAAATAGGCAAAGACGGGAGCCTGTGTAGGTAGGTAGGTACTTTTCACCTTTCACCTTTCACTTTTCACGTCTTACGCCGGGATCTTTTAGGCCGAGGCTGTTCAAGTCGGGTAATGTATTACCTGTATTAGGAGGTACCTTACTACACCTGCTCCTTTAACGTTGAGGATCTGAATGGAAAAAAAAAAGTATTCAACTAGGACAAGGACAAGAATCCATCTGATGCGGGCGAGTAGATTGATGGTAGCTGTAACACTGTGATCCTATGGTGGTATAGTAGCATAGCATGGCATATTATAACATAACTCAGCCCCCATGAGCCATGAGGAGGATTGAGGGAGCTCAAGTCGTGCGAGTCGTGCTGCTCGTGACTCGCAAACGTATCGTGACATGATTTTTTTTATTAATACAAAACATAAAAAATAATAACTAATAATAACAATAAACTTAGGAACAGGGCATCTCTTTATTGAAGTTTATTACGTATAACTAATCTGGTCGCATCTTTAACTTTTTAAATATTTGCTCACTTAACTAGAGTAAGAGTAACTAGACTTTTAAAGAATAGTTACCAAAATTTGCCGCTTTCATAACGAACTAAACCCAACTAAAGAGGTAGCTGGTTAGGTTAGATCTATTGTTAATATATCACCGGTAGCGTTATGTACAATGCATAGGAACCAACCATGCTGTATAGAGTACGACAATACGTACGACAATACATGCCATGATCCATGATCCATGATCCATGATACGGAATAAACTGCCTTCTCCTTTTTCTATTTCTCCATGTCATAGACCATACCGTACATAACACATGTGTCTTTGTTCGCAGTCATCGGCATCCCGTTGGCCCGTCCATGTTGATTCGACAGAATTTCCCCGCAGCAGCAGCATGGCAGCCCTTCCGTATGTATGCACGACGTATGCAGTATGTATGATATGACGGTCCTGTTTTTTATCTCCCTATGTACTGAGTGAATAAGAACCGTTGCGGTCGTTGCAGTTGTTGCAACATGCTGCGAGCTCCCAAATTAATAACAGAGCGTTAGGTACCTAACCAACCTAACGTAGAGAGGCATGGCGTATAGGTAGCGGATAGCGGAGAAGAGAAATACATACATAGCAGGATAGGTGAAATAAAATAGGGGATACCAAAAGATGGAGGATTAACTTAGCCTATAAGGGAAGTAGTACGGAGGTACAATATCAAGAAGATGGTGGCAGGGGGGGAGGGTCCATACTATTCCGTTCAATAGTAGACCATGAATGACTTTCCAGGTTGGATAAAAATGACCTTATGCCGTCACGCTTCGCCTAGGATATTTCCCGTAGCGGAAGAGGAAAGAAAAAAAAAGAAAAAAGAAAAAAGAAAAAAAAAAAGAAAAAAAAAAAAAGAAAAAAAAAAAAAAAAAAAAAAAAAAAAGGGCTAGACCGTGGCGACCCCCCCCGGGCGGCCGGCCGC